CAATATTATTAAAAACTAGATCATTGGATAATGCAATTCAAGACTTTTTATTGGCTTAGCCATTATGGTATATCAGCCAATATACCATAATCTACAAATATGGCAAGCGTACATGTCAGCTTAAAATTAAAAGGAAGCTAAAAATTTAATAAAATTTAATAAAATTTAATAACTTAATTTAACGTTTTTCATAAAACAATTATTCCACTTGCTCTTGTTGGATATGAGATGATTATAGCCAACTCGGCGCTACGCGCCTCGTTGGCTATCTATCATCTCATATCCAACGCGCGCTAGTGGAATAATTGTTAATTCGACAAGAGAGATCGAAGACCTCTCCACAATTGCACTTAAAGATTATCATTCCAACTAAAACAAAAGATTCCCATCTTTGACTGAAACAACACGGGTAAACATAAGAAACAAAGATCTACTCAATCTACCGTCTCCTCAATGTTAATTCTTTACATTGATTTTAGATTTGTGAGTGAATCTCCGTTCAATGCGGTCCAGATTAAATAATGTTTAAGGGAAGTGGTGTCCCTCTGTAAACGAAAAACAATGTAGTTCGTCTCGGTGCATCAAAATAAATATTAAGAATTGTCATTCAAATTGATCATCTATGATCCTATGAAGCTCTCTGCAACTGAAAACTTAAAAATTTATTCATATTTTCCTTGTCCACAAGAATGTCCAAGAATGCCTCATCTTAACTATTTTCTGGCAACAATTTGTCCATGGTCTTTCCGGCTATGCAGCAACCTAATAGAGATTAAAAAAATTTCTCCTGCTCGAAAAATCTTCACGAAAATGAGCTCTCGTCTGTATAGAGATTTGTACACAAAGAAATGGTTATCTACTGTATCTCCAAGTAGACGAAAACCATAAACACTTAAGCCGACGGACAATTTAAATAGATTGTCGAGACACAATTACACAACTGTCGTTGTTGCACCTGATATCTTGATTAACTTTTACCATGTCTATTTTTATATCTACACTTTCCTCTAGTCAATGAAGCAGGTCATTGTAGTCGATATATTTATGTGAATCAGACAAGAATCTGCTCGTGTGTAATGACAAAACCTACCCCCATGTGTATATGAAACCAGTATTCTTTTATCAGTAAAAGTGAGGTAATAAAAACAATTTCTCTCGGCCGGAGGCGAACGCAAAGGGATCTGGGAGACTGATTCTCTCCGCCGAGAGAACAAAAAATGAGCCTTTCGCTTTTAAACCTATTTTTTATCCAGCTATGAGCAAACCTTTGCAGGCACCTCTCCCAACAGCTGGGCTTCAAATTTAGCCACAACAACAATTTTGAAGAGGGACAAATATTTACAATAGTACAAAGATCTATTTAAGACTTGTCTGAAAGGGATATTTAACTTAGTGAGCATAAAGCCTCTGGGGTTCCACCAGAAATCCCATTTGCTGGCATAATTTTATAATTTTGGAATTGGAAAATCACGTACAAGCTACCAGTGGCTGCAACATTGTTGCATTTTCTGTCCCAGTCTCTTTCAAGTTGTGATCATTTTCCATCATAGTTGGAGCATCGCTTGTTTTACGAACAGTCGTAGACGAGCCACGCTTTGCCGGCTGACGTCCAAATAAAGTACATCTGAGAGCTCTCCTGTACGAGGGAAGCCTCCACGCGTAGATAAAAATATCCAGGGCCACTTTGATGAAAAGCATTAGATCACTGATTCGTAGACCGATGTGAATGTTAACATTTTCCACCGAGGTTCTTGGTTTCTTGAAGAGATAAATGTACAGGGCAGTATTGTGCAGCGAAGCAGACACTAACAAGATGGCTGTAAGATAAAATGTCATGATGGTAAACTGGCGTTCATTGTTTCTTCTCTTGTAGGAATTTGCTCTCCTGAGGGACTGGTTCACGGAAGCTGCTCTGCGGAGAGTATTTCTTCGTTGGAGATGCCGGTTAAAGGACGTGTATAATAGTACCTGAACAACGATTAAGATAATAGAGAACAGAGAAGGGTGTAGGACAAGGTCTACCAATAAAAATGTGTTCAATTCTATCCCCGTAAACTGCAGCATACAAAAACCCGTGATGTAAACGCTGCTGACAACAAGAGAGCAGAGAACTCGATTTCTGGACACCAAGGTCTTGAATTTGTGTGGGTAGGTGACCGCTATATATTGACATACAGAAAGGGCGAGAACTACGAAAAATGAAACACTGATCGCTATAGTAGAAATAATTCCGCCAATCCTTTGAATTAACTCATAAACTGCACCAGGCCTTGCGTTGAGGTTGGAGAAACCAACTACGTAAAAAATTGCAAAAAAAGGCTCGACAGTCAACCCCACGAGCAGGTCGGATATCGCGAGACCCACGATAAAGGATGTCATCGGGGTGCGAAAACACCGCAGAGGATCTTTGTAGATCGCTGTTAGTAGAAGAGCGTTGGATATCACTGTTATAGGCGACAAGATGCATAATATGACGGCAAGAGCAAGTTCTACTTGTCTGTATAGGCGCACCTCTGGGGAAATGTCAGATAAAATATTTTCACTTACATTTTCAAACACGTTCGTATGCGAACCATTCATGACTGCTAAGCAGTTCAGTCCAGATAAACCTCAAATATGACAAAATTAACTCAAAATCCTTGGCTGTAGCTGAAGATCCAATCACTGTCGAAAAATAACCTTGTTCATTTGAGAGGGCTTAGATAAGCACAATACATTTTCCGCCAAAATATTTAGTTCACCTGCCATGTGAGTCACACAATGTCAGCCAATACTTATCAAATGGCCTGCAGGGTTTTTATATTACAACAGAGCTGAATAATTATTTCCTCTGTCTGATCTCCGTGGCACAATTAACTTTGATGGCTCCGGCGAGAGAAGTATATTCCCCCAAAAAAATTAAATTGACAAACTTCGCTTCACTAAATATCGTCGATCACAGTGCGTTGGCAGGTGCTCTGACGTAGAGAACGAACACAATATGTAGATGTAGAGAGCATGACTTAAGTCTTGCACTGGAAGCTATGATGTAGGTGTTCAGCAAGTCCGGTCAATTTTCTTAAATACAGCTCGTCTCTTCACTGGAGTCTACAAAAAATTAAAGAGGAAATATCAAGTCTTTGGCTGAAGTTAAAATAAAACGATAGTTATTTGCTATTACACAACGGTCACGCGTTCCTCTTCTCAAAGGAAGGGGTCGATGATGTTTAATATGAGCAGATAACACGTTAGGTATATAAACAATGTCGCTCCGATAAACTCGTTTTATTCGCATAAAAATGATTTATGCTACACGTTTACTCGAACTATAACTCGTTTAGAACTTATTGTTATAATGTACGTGAAGTATACACACTGATTATGCGGTGATTTAAGAAGGAAGGGCATTAAATACTGTCTCCATTGGTAGCTGCATCCACGCGTTCGAAAATTTGAGACCTTTTGAAATTGAAATATAGGAGACGAAGTTCGGGGAATACTTACAACTTCCGTTTCAGAGAGAATTGAAAATCAAGATGTTTTCTACCCGCTTGAGATGTCGATGAGGTGATTGAGATGTAGTTTGAAAAGAAATAAGTACGTATTGGGCTTTTCCTACGTGATCAAGCTTTGTATATAAAAGTCTGCTGAGGAAGTTAAACGAACAATGTGACGTAAACGTAAAGTTTACTTAGCAGTCGCTTATAAATCTCCCCCTCACCTACCCCGCAGGAACGAAAAAGTCTTGGTTCACGACCACTCAAGTCTTTCAACGAAATGAAGGGATAAACATCAATTTTGAAAAGATTGGTTAACAGCGAAAAAGGCTCCAGTGGTGGTTCACTATTCATATGTGAGAAGAAAGCACAGAGTCTTGAATGGTAATGAATTAAATTTTTCTGTCAATGAAGGCGGTGGCAGCGCTCTTTATCACAATAGTGAAGAATACAGCCTATGACAGGTGCCATCACGAGTGCAAATTTCAAAGGTTCCCTGATATCTTTATACTTAATTGTGCTGAAACTTTGTTTTTTTTTTTTTTACCAAGGCTTCGGCAAATCATAGCATTGTCGGATTTATCGATGGTGTTCCCATTTACCTCGAAATTTTAGATAGCCGCACTTCTTTATCTCAAATATTCTAGGAAACTATTAAATTACGCCGAAGGAAAGTTAAAATTTTCTCTGAGCGTTAACGATTAGAGATCGATTTGTTGTCATAGCACCAGCCACACTGTAAATTTTTCACGTTCCATTTTTTTTCCTCAATAAGGTGGTTGTTTCGAGTTCGTTCATTTTACTTTCGAAAGGTTTCCTGCTATTTTCGTTTCCGATTGACTTTGGTAAAACTGCCATTCTACGTTTGTAAATAACTTCTAAGAAAAATTTCTGTCCACTGTATGACAAAACAAACAAAGATTCCCAAATTACTTGCCTAACATGATTAAGAACAGTGTTAAGGGCATGCGAAATTTACCCTCGTTCATACATGTCAGCGGGTTAAGCGTCACTTCTCCGGCTGCAAATAGACGTGTTTGAGATGAAAGCGACGTCGACGTCTTTTAATGTTTGTTGCGTTAATCGGGCACTGTTTGCCATGAAACAAGGTATTTGAACTGAGAGCCCAGCTAAAATAACTCACCACTGATTACAAAGACTGAGAAACCGACGTGAAAAAGACGGATCTCTCCTTCTGAACATCCATAAACTTATATCAGCGGGGATTTCGTTTTTCGTCGCAAACAGTCATATTTATTTTTAAGGCTTAAGGACCTCATAATTTATTCGAGCCGGAATAGATCATTTACCGAAAGCAATATCTAAGTAATTTTGCAAGCGGAAACTGTTTGTCATTCGGCAAAATAAAGTACAGAAAAAGCTTTCAAGTAGTTTCTTATTTCAGATCTACTACATGCAATGTCAAGTCTGTGCGCAAAACGAAATGAAAATCAGTAAACCATACTGGATTCAACGCATTTGGTATCTTTTTTGTCGAAAAAAATTTAAGGGAAAAGCGTGACTTCTATTGAACAATTGTGGCATTTGAGGTTCACAGTATGAAAACCGAGAGCTGTCGTAGCGTATAGGGCTTCAGCGAGGGAAAGGAAATAAGTGTATTCTATCTCTGCAGTTATTTTTGAATTTTTTTCCCCTTTACTCAATTTTTTTTTGTTTCGGCCATTTCTCCGTCCAGTGCTATCCCTTGCAGTGTTGCTCTTCATCCCTATGCTCTCCTGTTTTTCGCCTTCTTTATTTTCCCTTTTACTAGATTTAGTGTGTTTTGTTAGGAGGGAAAGATCGTTTGTTGTGGGAGAGGGGGTTGGGGTTAGCGCAAATGGAGAGGGGGTCATACCATTTCATGGATTATACGTACACATGTATTTAGTTACAAATTAAGGCTGTTTCGATCTGGAGCAGTTAATTGACATAATTTGGGACGATTTCGCGTTCACTGTGTAGTTGATGAAAAATATAAAAAGTTGATTATTTTCTTTGAACTTTTTCTTCCACAGATAGAACGAATATTTATCAATTTTCCTCTGGAGTGTTGCTGAATGGGTCTAGAAGTTCATCTCGACTGTCCGTGGCTTCGCAGACATCTACCACTTTTCATTAACAGTGAGATGAAGCTAATGATATGAATAACAGTCTTTTGAGGGCCGCGAGACTCGCTTTTTCACCAAATGACGCAGCAGGGTAATCATGTCATCATCGAAGGTAAATAACACTTGCTGAACACCTCCGAGCTGGCCGATAAAAAAACATAAGTTCAGTAACAAACACATAACAAGGGTACGATAGCTTTCAGTGTTGGGCAGAGTTTCTCAATAAATATAATCGAGGGTTTTTAGTAGGACCGGAATTGAAATAAAAATATAAACATTGGTAGCTCTCGAATCCTCATACGAAGCCTCTGTCTTGCTTCGATATGACAACTAAGACGTGGAAATTGCCTTCAAATCAGGGAAAAATTAAAATGGTCCTTAGCCCGTTCACGTAGAGCAAAAAAAAAAAAAAAGCAAGAGCTAATCTGACGAGGAAACGAAGCCACTGATGGAAAAGATTAGCAATGATTATGAAAGAGCGCAGTGCATTAGCGTGAACAAGAGCGAAGCTGAAGGAAAGTTAAAAGCACATGTTAAATTTATCAAATAGAAAAAACAAAGAACATATTTAGGCGCAGCAATTTTCTAAATTTTTTACAAGATACAAGCACTAATATCGCTTCTTGATCAAAAGGGGTCAAATTTTAGCAAAACTCTTACGTTTCTTGATAAGCAAATGTCGCAGCTTTTCCTTGGAACGTATTTTCTCTAAGTAATGCATTTCCCGTGAACCATCGACTAGTGACAACTTAAACGAAGTCAATGTGTAAACTGCTTTTTCACCTACTTCAGTTCCTATTCTGACGAAACTTATGTGTCAAGAAACTGTCATTCAACTGCACTTAGGAGAGATATCAACAGATCATTTGACAACAGAGGAGTGCATTAATCCATTTGGTCACATAGGCTTGCATCGTTGTTCAATGCGTGGTGTCAAACTTTATGGGACACAATTATCTGCTACGTCCATGTTAAGCCAAACCAATTTGTCGGCAAATGGCAAAATACGAAAAGAAGTTTTATTTTGACTTCGGCTCATGAATCGAATATTCATTCATCCCACGCACTATCGACAGAGAGAAAAAAGATTTGTTAATTGTGAAAGAAGATCAAGGCAGCGTCTTCTTGGTAGGTGATAATAAATCACCTACCGCGAAATGAAAATTACAGTTCGGAATTTTCAAACTGAAATAATATTCAATTCTGAACTATTATTTATAACAAAAGCACTGTATGCGTCATAAACATAGCGAAAACGTTCACTCCTGATGGTTAATTTAGATTTCTACATTGAGGTTAGTTTATGGACCTAATGCTGTTTCGGCAATTATTGTTTGCGATTTTTTTTTTTCCATAAATTCAAATTCTGCATCAACTCAAATTGTGGCTCGGTCAAACGAACAATCATTTCTTGCCTGATAAAACAATTGTGAATTTAGCTTAAATAGAAAACTGCCGAAATAGTACCCAGCTGCACCTGGTTCATGTTTATCACGAAATGGAGAAAAGGAAAGATTTGGACTTCGTTTTCTAATCGGGTGTCACTTGTCACTATGAACTCCCTACGCGAATCATTAAGATTCTTGTTCCCGCAAAATTAAGCGAACATCGTCATACTGGAATCAAAGACTTTTTCGAGTGTGACAAAAAAATACAAACACTGAAAAAAAAAATACAAACGCAAGAAGTATCAAACTCGAGGGACCTTCGGTTTAGTTTGGAAGTTGACAAGTTGATAATGTTCAAAAGAGGAACTGCTTACATTAGAGTCAAAATCATTCTTTTTTTCTGGATACTTATTGATTCAAGCTCCAACGCTGGGCAAAGTTTATAGTCATATTCTGAAAGTAAAAGCTTACTTAAAAGATCACCATTAGAGTTTCTAAACTTAGTAAAGCTGAAAAACAAACTGTAAACATTACATGAATAGCAACGTAAAGTTTCCTTACCTCACCTGTTATCGTTGTTGAATAAGAAACATCAGATGATAGCCGCTAGATTTGCACTGTGTACTTTTAGCTACAATTCCTTTCATTTATAGTTCATGCTACAGCACAGTATTAATACAAAGACAGAACATCAAAAGTACACATGGTAACACCTCCCAGAATACAGACTAACGGCGTGTGCTTCGAAAAACTTTGCTTTGCAATCAATACACTGGCGAGCTTTTAGGAAAGAAAGCATCGGAAATGTCTCCAGCATACCTAAATGACAGAAAGACATCATTTATTCGTGGTAAACATGTCATTCATCGACAACCGCTGTGCCTTGATCACATTTGATTCATATCAAAAACGACCACATGCTAAAATCAGAGCATTTTTTACTCCCGGTAATAAAAACTAATAGCACGAAAGATAATTAAGCAAATTTGTCTGTTTAAAAAGCATCATTTTTGCCACCGTCTTGAATCCAGTTTTTACTATCTGCAAGTTACCACAGCAACAACACATAAGAATAGTTCTGAGTCTATTCTGACGCAAAAAAATTTCAAATGACTTAAAAAACTTTATATTATGGAGCCCCTTTATCATCATGCTGCTCCAATATGTTTTTTTTTTCTTTCCTGAAATTCAAATAAAGGCCGTCTCCATTGTGGATTTCTTCTAATAATATTCAATTTTCTGTGGTGGTATCTTGTAAGATAAAAAAAGAATTAGTTTCCTTAAGAAAAGTCAATCTGCCGAACTCTTTAGATTTGAATACAAGATTTTAACTGTATATATCATTTATCAGCATTCGGAAACGCGGCTGATGAACATACTGTCTACGGAACTCATTAGTTTGTACGAAAGCTTATCTCCACATAAAACTAATTGCTTCGAAGACATTACATAAATCATAAAGACGTTTTAATTAAAAAATGTTTGGAACAGCCTACGTGCCTAAATGTTTAAAATGTAAACTTCCCAACACATTAAATTTGGTAAAACCAGTAGTTCTTATGATGGTCCTCTAAAACTACAAATTCAAATAGCAAAAATACAAAGATAAAATACAATTAAAAATTCATTAAAAATTTCTCCTCGTAGTAAAATTATCAATTCTGGAGTTCCGATCTATATATATCTTGTATAGTTGATTTCTAAATTTATAACTGAAGGGGAGTGAGACCCTAGTACCGTCTTGGTTGTTCCATAGTCTAGTGTCACTTGCAAGAATTGAACGTTTGCTGGTCTTGGTGCTAAAAAAGGCGTGGAAAAGTCCTTATTAGTTGTTTCGTGTGTGTGTGATAATGTCAGGAAATTTCCCAAGGATAATATTATACATAATACACAGTGTCCTTTGCTCTATTATATCACTAATGGGGATCCAACCTAACCAACTGTTCTTTTAGTGCCTGCGTTTAAAATTACCTTAGCACAACGTTTTTTAATTCTGAAGAGCCTTCGTAAATTATCAATCTTAGTGTTTCCCCACACTGAACAACAATATTCGAAAATTAGTTTAATTAAAGCGTTGTATAGCAAATTCCTAAGTGATAAATTTAGGTACTTTTTGTCTCTTTCAAGAAGACTTACCCTAAAATTTAATTTAGTGATCATGCAATCTATATGGCTATTCCAATAACAATTAACAATTGATAATAAGCAGCTTTTCGTGGACGGCTCTTCGATTTCAGTGCCTCGCAACGAAAGGTTAAGCGATGGGTTTGTGCAGTAGGAAAGTTTTTGCTTGGTTCCAACAAGTAGCTGCTTTGTTTTCTTTGCGTTTGGGACCATCTTGTTTAGCGAGAACCAGTGATCCGCTTTGTTGAAACTTCCCTGAAGTCCGTGCTGGATAAGCAAAGAATTAGAACTAGCCATCCAAATTGCAATCAGGTATTGCAAGTGGAAGGTCATCGGTGTATAACAAGAAAAGGATGGTACCCAAAAGGATGGTACCAAAAGGATGGTACCCAAAAGGATGGTACCCAAAAGGATGGTACCCAAAAGGATGGTACCCAAAATAGAACCTTGTCGAACGCCTCTAGTAATTGGTGGTACGTCAGACAGCGATCCCATTGATACAACATCGCTGTGTTCAATCGTCTAGGTAAGACTCAAACCAACGCAGAGATTTATTATCAATGTGGCACATATTGACTTTTGATAAAAGAAAGTTGTGATCTACCAGATCAAAAGCTTTACTATTGTCCTGCAGTTCCTCGCCGACAAGTTCTTTCGAGTCCATAGCTTGAGCCAGTTGTCAGTAAGACTCAAAAGTGCTGTTTCACGAGAATGATAACGTCGATATGCTGAATGTTTACTTTGTAAGAGCGTATTAGTTGTTAAGTAATCAAGGTGCGATCGCGCAACATGCCTCTCCTGAGGTTTAGATATTACAGGCAATATGGAAATGAGACAATAGTTGCTTTATCATGGATTGAGTCGTTCTTGTGGAAGTGAGTCAGCTTCGCTCTCTTAAAGTTGTCGGGGAAAGAACCACTTGCAGTACTAGCACTGTAGATGTGGGTAAGAGAAGGAGCGATAGCATTCAAAGCTTGCTTTGAGAGTTTAATTCCAATTCCCTCAAGTCCTGTGGCTTTATTATCAGGAGTGTTCTTGGGATCTTCAACCACCTGTTTCACGCTAATTGGCGGGGTGTGGAATACGGTTGAATTATTGATGCGACTTTACGAAATCAGTGAGTCGATGATTTTGTTTGTTAGTATCCACTAATGGGATAACCGTATCTGCTTTTTGTTGGATATACGTAAAATGTTTATTGAAGGTGTTGGCCATTCCCTTAGGATAAAAAATACTTTATCTTCCGCCTCAATGAATGAAAAATTGGAGGGTGCAGATTTAGTTGGAGCAATCCTTTTGAGAGTTTTTGAGAGTTTCCTTGGATTATTCATATTTTTGGAGATCTCCTACCTCACATAAGCCATCTCGGCCTTGGCAATTGTCTTTACCACTTAGCTATGTAATCTTTTGTACATTATACCTGCCAGAATGTTTGATTTGGCACGTACTTTGAACTGGTCTGTAAGGTGCAAAAGCTATAAGATGTCATTGTTCATCCACGGCGATAGAAACTTATGATTCACTCTTTTCTCGACAATGGGGGCGTGTCGATTCATCACATCGTTGAAAATCCATTCCCAAGTGTCGAGCTTTTCATCTCAACACCTACAACTTCCTCTCTAAGAAGCGAAAGATGTTATTCTTCGAGTGTCTCTTGGAGGGTAAATAATCGGTTTCTGTTCGGTAACGTAAAATTCGGAGCGGTTATTACATTGTGTAAAAAAGGAAGTTAGACTCAATTATTGGTCAAAGGATGTAAATATAGAGCGTTTTCACTCACGTGACCAAATTTCTTTATCGTCATGGTAACCGACTTCATCCGCCATGTTGGTGTTCCATGATAATCAGCTCTGAGTATTGTGACAGGAAACATTTGGAGCACATTTTACGGTTTTGAGAAGACAATCGTGTAATATTTATATTTTCGTTATCACAGTACTTATTGAACTGCGGTATTTGCATATCTTGAACTAGTCGGTTGTGATTGGTCGGCAGATAAAGTTTTTAGAGTACATGACATTTCAGCCGCTGTCAATCAAACGGTTGGATGCGTAAAGTAAATCTCAAGGTGACATAAAGCGAACAATAGCAATAATTAACAATAACCACGCTCTTAACAAGGCGTTTAGCAAATTCATTTGCAGCGAATTCTTAGATAGACTGACAGCTCCCGTGAGTCAAAATGTTATCGGACTGAGCTCTGTTCTGCTGTAAACCACGCAGGAAGTGGCTGGAGCACGAAAGAAGTGTAAGAAAAAAAAAACGAGACGTATTCGATTGTTTCTCCCCACTTGTTGAGTGCTCTAGCCGCTTCCAAAGTACAGTCAAGCCTTCTCTATCTGTTTTAGAATAAAAACTTCGTTAAATTGCCCACGCATGATTTTTAAGTTTCAAAACAAACTTTATTTCCAGGGCGAACAAGTGTTTCATCAGCATGCTCTATAATCTCATAGAGCATGTCCTTTCAACCAGTAACAACGCGCGTTACATCCGAACTTTATGATAAAATGTACTTTGGCTAGTCTATCTGCAAAAACTGGTTTCAAGACTTTTTTACCTCCTTCACCGGTTAGAGACACATTTGTGGAAGCGGGACCGATTCCTTTAACGTTAAATGCACTCACTGACACTTCATACCCATGATAAGGAAATAAATCGTGGAATCCAATTGAGAAAACTGTTTCAATTAGCATCAAGTTGGCGATGATATTCTGCTGATTCTGGTCCTTGAGAAACACGCGATATCCTCTGGTGACACCATTTCTACAGAACGGATCAACATTCTTCCACTCTACTAAAAGGGATGTGCTGTTTATCACGGTGACAGTTAGATTATCAGGCAATGCCGATGGCACTGTAAAACATAAAATCTGCTTAAAACTGGTCTAAGACCCCAGCATTCAACTGGCGTGTCACGTGACACGCTTGTCACCATGAGGAGCACAAGTGACTAAAGATTTCCAAACTTTGCTAAAAACAAGAGAACAAAGCTGATAAATCTGTACCTGTAAGTATGAAACAAATCACTTAAATGTAAAGCTAGTGACTTCGAAATGTTCACCCATGTTTACCCTTCTCCCTTTCTCATAAAACCAACCACAAACGTGAAATTCTATTTTACAGAAACCAGGAAGGTTGTCTATTGAAAAAAAAAAAGATGGCTTTGATCATTCTGTGTGTAAAAGTCAGAACTTGTCTGAAAAATAACAATATCACAGACAGAGTAAAGAAAATGAGACGTTAATAGAATGGAATGGACACAGTAGTAAATAGTAGAACAGTAACGGATAAACTTAGTAAATTCGGAAAAAGCCGTTGGTTATCTGACGATATTAAAGGATTCGAATAAATCTCATACCGTTTTAAAATGCTAGAAGGTGAAGATATTGACTTGGAATTATCAAACGTGCAATAGTGTATAACTGCTCACCGTCTTCATCTGTCCTTACGTATCTATCGTTTGTGGTTCCCGATCCACCATTCGTCGTACCAGCTACCTGAACTTTGTACAACCCATATGCTTTCAACCCAGTAATAGTAAAGTTATCTGCATCAAGTCCAAGATCGCGCGATTTTTTATTTTTCGACCCCGGTTGTTCAGACCAAAGTACCCGGTAACCAGTCAATACACCGACATAGCTATTAGGTGGGATACTGTGAAGCCAGGACACAAACAGACTGTTTGAACTCAAGTTGAAGGCGTTGGTTATGTTCGGTCCTACACTTGGAGCTATGAAATGAAACAATGAATCGATAGTAACCGTGGCAGATCACGTAATTCTAAGAAGAAAGGTCTAAAGATACTCACGGTTACTTGATACCTTGCAAAGTATTCAAAATAACTCAGAGGGAACTTTCAAAATAACAAGAAAAGCTGTCAATAAGAATATTTCATTTTTGTCGGGTACCTGCACACTTGGCTCGACCTGGTCGAGTTTGACTAATGGTCGTGGGTCGTGGGTCGTGGGTACAAG